AACCCTGACCCTAACCACATCAGTTTGCATTTCTCTGTGATCCGTGAGGCCTGTGTGTAAGCCCAGGCAGGAGTAAATGGAATCAAAGTGGAAGCAGTCCACTCCTGTGTTGTCAGTGAGTCACTAGATCCTTTCTTCACTTGATGTTTCAAAATAACAGCCAGAAAGAAGTAGTTCAACATAAAAAAAAAAAAATCAAACAGCTAGACAAAGCTTTGGGATGAGACTTCAGGAAGGAAGCTATGTGAGTGGGCAGTATGCACACAGAAAGATGCTCATCATTAGTTTACGAATGGCCCAAATGTAACCAATTGACAATGTCAAGTGTTGGCAAGGATGTGAAGCCACTGGAACACTCATATGTTGCTCATGGGAATGCGGCATGGCACTTTGGAAAGCAGTTTGGCAGTTTCTTATCAACTTAAACAGATAGTTACCCTATGAGTCAAGTCCTCCCCTAGATATTTACCAAAGAGGAGAAAACTTATGTCTACACTAGAATTCATGCACAAATGTTCATCAAAGCTTTATTTTTAGTGGCCCAAAATAAACAACCCAAATATTCATCAGCTGGTAAATGGGTAGATTAAATGAAGTATAAATTAAATGAAATGCTACTTAGCTATAAAAAAGGAACATACTACTGAAATACAAATAACAGGTAAATCTCAAAATCATAACATTGAATGAAAAAGCCTAACACAAAAGAGTATATAGCATATAATTTTCTTTATATGACATTTTTAAAAAGGCAAAACTAGTTCATAGTGACAAAAAGCAGACAGATTACCTGGAACTGAGTTTGGGAGGGAACTGAGTGCCAAGGGACACCAGGGAAGCTTTTTGGGCTGACAGAAACTTTCTGCATTTTGAGTGTGGTGATAGTTACGTAGTATACATTTGTCAAAATTCATCAAACTGTACTATTAATATAGATGCATTTTATTATATGTAAATTATGCTCAATAAAGCTGATTAAAAATACAGGAAAATTCAGAGAGAATACAATTGAATACCAAAACCCTACATAGGATCATTTTAGGAGAAGCAGGCAAACCATAAAGGTTGGGCCCTGGCTAGTGTGGCTCAGTGTATTGAGTGCGGGCCTGTGAACCAAAGAGTTGCCAATTTGATTCCCAGTCTAGGGCACATGCCTGGGTTTCAGGAGCATGTGAACAGCAACCACACATTAATGTTTCTCTCCCTCTATCCCTCTCTTTCTCCTTCCCGTCTCCTCTCTAAAAATAAATAAAATCTTTTTAAAAGTTACATTAAAAATGCAACGTTTGATATATATTTAAACTAAAAAATTATCCATTGTGAACCTGAAATTCAAATTTAACTGAGTGTCCTGTGTTTTATCTGGCATTCCTATTTGGAACGTGTCTTGGAATGTAAGAGCAGGAATAGCTGCTTTAGAAAGTCTAGAGCTTGGCTGAAAGACTATTCGGGCCATCTCTCCATCTTTCGTTGTTCTTTGTTCATCAGTTTCCAGCCCCTTGGTGGACAGGCTGCCCCACAGCCTCCCTTATCCACATGTGACACCACCAGGTACATGCAGAGCCTGACTTGCCCATTGCTGGCTCAACTTGGGTCCAGATCCCCCTGTGATGCACAGGGCTTAGGTGGTGGTGTGGGCCAAAGGGCTCAGTGTGACAGCCTCAGCCTCACTCTGGGTGGTTCGTGGAGGGGGCCCCAGGAAGGAGGCCTCACTGGGAAAGCTGCTTGGGGCAGCAGGAGGTCACTGCCCACAACACCCAGGTTGTGGCCTCTACCCCAGCTAGCCTTCAGCTGTCCGCGGGACCCACTAGAACACCCAGGAATAGACTCAGAGGAAGCTGGGGGACCCGAGACCACACCTGTGGGTCTCCTGTCCACTCTGGGTGCCAGATTCTTTGGAAACTGAGGAGGAGGAATGTTTCCCCAAGCAGGCTCTGAAATTTTGGGAGCGGCCATGAGCACAGGTCTGGAGGACAAGTGAGTAAAACACCTGTCCAGGAGACCCAAGTGCACGTAATGAATGGGGAGAAGCCCGAGGGGAAAGCCCCGGGGTTGGAGGTCTGTTGCAGAAATGAAAGAACTGGCCATTCCCACTAGATAAAGCAGGAACCAGTCCAGCCCAGAATCTGGACACACGGCAGGAAGACTTCCTAGCCGTGCGGCTGGCCGAGGTGGGAGGAGGGATGACGCGGGGCCCGGCCAGTGAGTCAGACCCCTTTCCAGAATCCAGCTGAGGTGCGAGGGGCACTGGAGCCGGCGGTACAGAGCCCCGAGCGGTGGGGCACAGGAAATTCTGCGGTGGGCGAGCGCACCGCAGTGGCGGCCCACTATGCGCTAGCTTACGCTTCTGCATCCAGCACCTGCGCTGAAGCACCAGCAGGGGGCAACAGGCGCCCACCCTCCTGCCTCCCCGCGGCAGCTTCTATCAGCCAAGGGCCAATACTCTTCTGCCTCTCTGGGATCGGCTTCAAGTGGCGATCTGTCCCGAAGAAGCAGTCCGCCCAGGGGCCCGCCGCGGTGACCCGAGAGTCGACGATCGGTGCGGGGAAAGTGTTCCAGCGAGGTCTCATGAGGGTCCTGGGTCCCACCACAGGCAGCATCCTCGGGGCCAGGTGCGCTCGCTAACCTGACAGAGCTGGGAGACAAGGTGACTCAGACGAGTACCGGCATGGCCAGGGCGACCCGGTATGCCCGTGTTGAATAAAGGTTCTGCCCATTGGTGAGCCCGCGTTGTCCTTGTCACCAATAGCAGTGGGCCCAGTCTCTCCCAAGCTCCCACACCCACAGTTCTGGCCCTGGATCCGGGCACTATGCGAGAACTGCATCCTGAGAACAGGTGGGGCGTCTCAGCCAGTGCCTGACTCCGCAGTGGCAGGCAAAGCTCGGAAGGGAGGGCGCGCTGGGTATGCTGCGGGGGCCAGGGAGGAATTCCTGAGAACTGCTTCACAAGTAGGGATTGTGTCACCGACTGTGCTTCACAGTTAGTCTGCACAGCAGTCCCTGAGCTGGCGCCATTGTCTGCTCCTCATCCCCCTCTTCTTCCTTCCTCTCCTCTTCCTTTCCCCGCTGTCCTGTCCCTCCTCCTCTCCCCGTATCACAAGGTAACGACTGCTATGCGGTCTTTCCTAGTCGATGTCGTCCCATTGCTGACCACCCCATTTGCCGTACCAGAAGGTATTAGGAAGCAGCGTCCTCCTCCTCGTCCCTTTGCAGTTGTCAGCCCCAAGAAAGGAAAGCACCTGTGAAAGAGGTCAAGAATCGCTTTAGTACTGAAAACAGATTTCCCTTTTAGCACGCCAAGGGCAAGAAATTAATTATGCAGCAGCGCTGGCCCTCAAGCGTGGCAGAGCAGGATGAAGGTGGGATGGAAAGTGGCTTCCTCCCGGCTTCCTCCCTGCTCCCCCGCTCCCCACACCCAGCCTGCACTAGGAAAAAAAGGGGTTCCTGCAAAGCTACCTCAGATACATTTGTCAAAATGTTTCTTATGTGTATTTTATAAATGCCTGTGCTTTTATTATTGACACATTAAAAGACGAGTGAGAAAGCACCATAATTTTGAAGTAATGATGAGTGTATATTTGATCATACCTGGGACAAATGTAATGATATGATAAGGTCCCAGGCACTGTTGCTGAGGTGAACAAGGTCACATTCATACTTGAAGGAAAAACAAAATTTCCAGTAATAGACAATAAAGAGAGAATTTTTTCCTTATCCAAGTTCATGGATTCTTTGAATTTTCCCCACAGACTCTAGGTTAAGAACCACCAAGTGGCTCTCAACCAGCATTTAAAATTAAAATCAAGGCAGAGAAAAGAAACATGTCAGCTGTATCTCACGCAGAGAGATAAGAATCAGTTGGGAAATCTTTGCCTTGGTCTGTGGTTCCGAGCCCAGGCTTTGCAGCCAGACCAACTCAAGTTGAACCTCTTTTTCTGCCACGTACTTCTGGGTAACCGAGGTCAAGCCACTGTGTTCTCTGCGTCTCAGTTGTCTCCTTTTGCAAATGGGATAATGGAAGTCTGTCCTTAAGGGCTGCTGTGAGCAGGGAGATCTTGTGGGATGGGGCCTGGCACTTGGCACGATCACTGTTTGGCTGTTGCAGTTTGATGGATGTGTGTGTGCTCTGTGTCACAACATAAAATGTGTTTTTACCTGCGAGTCATGGTCTGAAATGTTTGGAAGCCTTGACCCTGGAGGATTCTGGGACTCAGACCTTGGCAAGAGCTCATGTGGGATCCCAGGCTTGGGAAAGAGGATACAAAAAATATGCAAGGTCTGGGGTCTGCATTAGTTTCCCGTTGCTGCTGTAATAATTTACTAAACTTCAAGGAGCACTGTCCTTGGCTACTTCTGGCTCTCCCCTTTGCCTGTATTGATCTCTCTGCCTGGAATGATCTCTTCCCCCTTCTCCACAGCTCTCACTCAGCCTTTAGGACTTAGCTCTCAGACATTGCCTCCTTCAGGAAGGCTTCCCTGAAGCACCCTACCACCCCACTTCTGGGAAAGTGCCTGTGCATGAAGGCCTGCATATATTGCCATCAACGCAGATGCCATAACCAACTGCCACCATCTGCTCCGTTTCTGCAATCACCCCCGCCCCCCGCCATGGGGTGCCCTTCAGCTGAACACTTGGAACTCTTTACACCCCCAGGGACCAGGAGAACCTGACATGAGTGAGGGAGTGAGGTCTTGGCAAATGTGTGCTGAGCGAGTGAAGGAGCGAGTGAATGAGTGGCTTCCCTGAGGCCCCTTGCATGCTCAGAAAAGCCTGGAACTGAGCCTGGGCCAGCAGAAGCCAGCAAGCTGGGCTTGGGTGGGGCAGCATCCTTGGAGTCCAGAATCCTCAACAATTGTGAGGTTGGCCCAGGGTCAGTCTTGCATCCTCTGGGAATAGGGTTGTCTCACTATGAGGCCCTGTTCACTGAGTTTCAACCCAGAGGCCAGATCCTCCACAAGCTCAGAGGGCATTGGTCACATCCAAGAACCACGCTGGGATGCACTGTTCCTACAGAAGCTTTATTTACTGGATTCTGGTGCAGCGCCCAGCTTGGCTATCTCAGTGCCACCACCAGTCTGACGACATCACCAGGGTGATCCACGCCCCCACCCCTGAGAGTCCAGGAGCACTCAAGTTGTTTTGTTACTTGGTTGTTCAGTGACCAACTCTACTAGAGGCTGATCCCAATTAAAACCGATGCTCGTGATGCCAAGGGACTGATACTGGCCGAAGAGTCCTCTGAGCACGTTTCCAGGCTCGTTGGGGTAGACGACGAAGCTGCGGCCTTCTTCCTTCCCAAATGTGGCCCAGCGCCCGAAATCGGTGTACATGATCAGATACCGGAGGTAAATCTTATGTGAGCCATACACCCCTATAATGTGTTCACCTGGCCACAGGACGAATTCCTGGGCATGCCCACCTGAGACGCCATATCTTTCGCTCCAGGAGGATCCATATCTCACCTGGATACTGACAGAAAGCAGGAGATTCGAACACTGTGGATCCAGGCTGACTCGCCATTCTCCAGGTCCTCTATCCCCCACATCACCCTTCCCCTCAGCCACTGGCAAGGAGAGTGGCCCTGTCACTGCAGCATAAGCCCTTGAGCACAGGACTCGGGGTTCCTGAGACAGACATGCTGGTATCAAAGCCCTGCACTTCTGCGTTTGGGCTCTGTGATTTCGAGCTTGTTACCCAGCCTCTCCAGACCTCAGTTTCTCCATCTGTAAAGTAGGAGATTGTTGGAAGCAGGCACTGAGCTCATCCATAGGGAGAGCTCTGCTCAGTGCCCGGTCACCATGACCCTCGGGCGGTGCCAGCTGTCATCCTTGCTCAGAGCAGGAGAGCTGTTCTCTGGCCAAGCCTGGGTTTTTTGAGCTCAAGTCACTCCAACAGATTAGGTCGCAGGCCTCAGAAGCAAGTGACTTCTCACACTCACTTGGGGGAATTTCACTAGCTTTGCTCATCTGAGCTTATCTGTGTCCTTCCTCCCACCTTGGCGCCTATCTCAGACCCTCCTCCTCTGCCTCTCTCTGCCCACACTCTGCTGCCTTGGATACCGGCTGCTTTGCCCTATTTCCCCTCCCAGGCCCCAGGGCTCCTTTAAGTGAATATCAAAGGTTAACCCCAGGCTTTGAGCAAGGACACCACCCTAACATTAGGAAATGGCCCTGCGCTTTCTGCCTCTACACACTTCTGGCAGCTTGTGTTCAAGCAGGGATCCACTCTGACCCTCTTTCCTCCTTGACCTGAACCTTCTCCCTGATTTTTCCATCAGACATTCTCAGACTGAGAGGCTTTTTTCTTTGACTGAGTTGAGTTTGAGTTGAAAGGAGAAAGTAGGGAGAAGCATCATCTACCCACTTTTTTAGATCAACCCAGGAAGCCACGTCTGGATTTTCAGGTGGAGACAGAAAGAAGCAGGGCTGGTGTGCAGGAGAGGAGGTAGCTAAGGAAAAGGGACCAATGGAAAGGTGATGGCTGGTGGCTCCATGACTCCAAAGATTCAACCGGTCTCAAAGAGTCATCAGGAACCCAGTTAAGATGTTGGAGAGGAGGCACTAAGACCCCCTCCCCAAGTTCCCAAGGCTGTAGCATGAGTTGGGACACAGTGATAGGGCTTCGTGCCCTGCTCCTACTCACCTCTTAATTATGCCTATAAGACCTGTAGACACTCGAATTCCAGTTATATCATTTTCATTGTCTGTAGAGGTACTGAAATACCAGCCTCCTCCATTCCCATACATCTCTAGATGGACGAAACAATGAGTTGGGGGAGAGAGAAAAAATAACATGGTATATAACATGGTAATATGCAGGTTATCTTCGCGCAGAACTGGACAAAACCCCACCGGGCAGATGGGCCAGTCCTGAGACTAGAGTTAGCCAAGGGCTGGGCCCAGACCCCGGGGTGTCCGTGTTGGAGGAGGTGAGGGTAGCCACCAGGGGGATGGGCTGGAGGGAAGCAGACCCCGCCAGACTTACGCTCTGCCCAGCAGATGGTGCTCCAAAGGATGGTGAGGGTCAGCCACAGCAGCATGATTTCTGGCTGGTGAGTCCCAAGGCTCCTGGAGAGAAGGGACAGCCGGCTGGGCTCTCAGAGAAGGGCCCTGCCTGACCTTGCCCGGCCCCATCCATGGGAGGGCAGCACCAACCTACCTGGCCAGAAAAGTCCTGTCACCCAATCCTGGCACTCGGGAGTCTTGTTCCAGGGCACCTTCCACCTGGCCTTTTATACCCTTCCGGGCCCTGTGGGCCCCCATCCAGAAGGAAGGAGCAGAAGCCACCGTGGGAACAAAAAGGAGCTAGTCTGTGGGGGCTCTTCCTGGGGGAATCCCCAGGCCATCCTGAGAGAGGCTCCCGGATATGCTGTTTGTTGCCTTGGCCTCTGGTCCTACGCAAACAAAACAGGACCGTGACAGGGATTTTGCTGTCATCTCTGAGTCTCTCTTCTCAGCACATGAACTAGATCTTGACTTCAAAGTTTGTTGACAGCCCTTCCTAGGTTGGCCAGATAGGATTCAACCCCATAGGGGCTGTAGGTCGAAGGTCCGCAGAAAGCCTGTGGGGCCCAGGGCTCCTGCCTTGTGCACAACTGGGTTCAGGACCTCATTGGGTCTGGGCAAAGCCTGGTGTCCCTTGGGCTTTCAGGAGCCCGGGTCAAGCTCCCCACCAACTCTCAGAGAGCCGGAGTGGACGATCCAGTTCTGTGTCTCTGGTGCAAGGGGAAAGAGATACTCTAGGCACTGGACTTCTAGGATCTATCACTCGGAAAATGCCTGTGATTTTTCTTCTGTGCCAAGTCTGGGAGTAGCTGGGGATGAACGAGCCCTAATGGGGTGTGGGGTGTGGGGCGCCCAACAGCATAGGTGCCATGACAGGAGGCACGGAGGATTAGGGACAAGTGAGCCTCCAGGCCAGTCCTTCAGAGGGTGCCTGGGGCTAGGCCAAGTGGTTAGACTGTATCTGGAGGTAACAGGGTCTTCTTAAGGTTCTGGGGACCCTGATGGTGCAGCAAGTCAGGCTTTCTGTGAGGGGCTGGAGCTAAGGCTGTCCACAGAGCCTCCTCACCCTTTTGAAAGAGCCACAGGGTCATAATCATCAAGATATGGGCTGATTGGGGACATGAGTGCTGGAGCCAGATCGGGTCCAAATCCTGTCTTTTGTATTTACTAGCTATGCAATTTGGGGAGCTTACGTCACCTCTGTGTGCCTCAATTGTTTCTCTGATACATGTGGATAACAGCAGAACCTACTCACGGGGTGTTACGAGAATTCAACAAGATGCGTCTCCAGCTAAGGGCCCAAACACCGAAGACCTTAAGCCATGTGGGCGGGTGTGCAAGGTTTTGCTTTGCAGCTTCTTTTATAATCACAGATTAGAAACAGCAGACTTTTACTTCTAGAGGTGACCATTAAATAAATGATGGTGTCAGCTATGCAGTGGAATACTACACAAGCGTGAAGAAGGAATGGAACCCTCCTGCTGCACTGACACACTGCCCAGGGACACAGGCCAGTGGAGACCCGAGGCTTTAGAAGGTCTCCATTTGGTTACACAGAAAAACAGAATGGCCTCGTGCCATTCTGTGCACAGACAGATTGCCCTGGGAGTGCTGGCTCGCCAGGAACTGAAAGCACTGGTTCCACTGGGGTGACAGTCCGGGGAGGACTGGGAGATGGGGTGGAAGCCCTGTTCAGGTGGCACCTCCATGACCTACACCAGGTTCCTAGGACAGGGGTCAGCTGCTACGGCCTGGAGCCGAATCGGTCCTCTGCCTGTTTCTGCACAGCCTGTGAGCTAAGAACGCTTTTTACTTGTTTAAATGGTTAGAGAAATTTCACAAGAAAAATAGCATTTTGTGACCCCTGAACATTCTATGAAATTTCAGGGCCATCACCCACCAATGAAGTGTTATCAACACACAGCCCCACCCACTCATTTGCATGGAGTTAGGGCTGCTTTCAACTCCAGGCAGAACTGAGTCCTGTGACAGAGACTTTAAGACTTAGAAAACCTAAACATGGCCCTTCACCACAGTCAGCGGACCCCTGGCGATCCCTGTTTTCCTGCTCGGGAGCAGTCACAGCCCTGTGCATGGCACTGGCCACACGGGGTTTGCGGGAGCAGTAGGGGGTTCCCTTTAACAACCACCCTTTTGGGGAGGCCAGAGCACAGAGGTGCTCTATCCTGAAAACCGCTCCCTTTCCTCTGGCCTTGGACTGGTCTCCCTGGAGAGGATCCTTGGGGCTCAGACCCTCTCACACCAGGCCCCAGGAACCTCCCGCCGGAAGGAGGCAGGAGAGGCCTGAGATCTCACAAGCACAGCTCTGGAGGCGAGGGCCAGGAGGCCACACCAGGGGGCTTCTGTTCGCTTCCCAGCCCGGCCTAAGGGAACGTTTGGGAGTTTTGACGCCAATTCAGGTATCTTCTTCCCAGCTCTAGGCTGGCAGGGTTTGGTGCCCAGAGAAGGGTCTGTCTGGGCCCAGACTCCAGGAAGCACTACCTGGGATGGTAGTTGGAGGAAGAGACAGTTTCTGGCCTGAACAAAGAAGGAATGACAGAAGTTGCTTGAAAGTATACACAAGGTGCATTTTCATAAAACCATGAGCGTTGTTATAACAGATGCACATGCACACACAGGCACTCACACACGGATGCACCCTAAACACACACCTGCCCACTACTCTTCTGCATAGGAGCTTGCACATGCCCCGCACACGCATGCCTACATTCGTGCACACCTGTGTCGGAGGCCCCAGTCCTGGAGAAGACCCACCCCCTAGTCTACCCTGGCCCAGTGCTGGCCCTGAGTCTGAGAAAGACTCAACATAGGCCCTTTGTCCCTCAGGGCAAGGTCTCCCCACGAGGGGATTTACTGGGCATTTACAAGGCCGTAATCTCCTCCGTGGGTGTGTTCCAGAGCTCACTCTGCCAGGAGCCCAGAACAATGGAGCCTTCTCCTAACCGGGCTGGCTTCCCGGGTCCCCCAGCAGACAAAAGGGACTCCATCCCCCACCCACTCAGTTGGTCCAGCCTCCCTGCCACCCTATGCAGGAAGCCCCCAACTCCCCTTGGAGGTTGGAACTTGTGCCCCTGGCTTGGGGCTTGAGTCTTGAGGGTAAGTCTGGCCTGGCCTGGGCAAAGGTAGGGGAGCTGGCTCCTCCTCGTGGCTTCTATCATCCCTGGGGCCCCAGAAATCAGAGGGAAGAGCCTGTTGGAAAGGAGAAGGGGAATGATCTTTGTGGCTTTTGTGGATTGCCCTTGGGTGGCTGCTGCCAAACTGAAAAGCCCCGTAAGGGGGGCAACTCAGCTTTGCTTTTCTGAGACTCTCAGTGCTTCCCCACTCATTTACTCACTCATTGATTCCAGTTCTTTACTGGATACAGAACAATAAGCTAAGAATTTACCTCCACTTTTCCCCAGAGAAATTCAACACTTTTCCTGGAAAACTAAGACACACAACCACACATTTTGTCTAAACTTTTATGTAATTAAAATTCCATTAGTGCAAGCATTGAAAATAAAATGAACTCTACCCAAGTGTCAAGTTGAAGAGATCCATATTCTGATTCCCCAAAGCTGCCCTGGTACATGTATTTGTTACTGGCTGTGTTAGTTTGGGCCGCTGTAACAAATACTATAAACTGGAAGGCTTCAACAACAGCTGTACCGCACCTGAAGTCCTCAGAACCCCTACCCCCAGCCCCACTGAGCCCCTCCATCATCTGCCTCCCTCCTTTGAGAGGCTTCACCACATCATCTCCTTGTTGTTTTCTAGAGTTTGGAGGTGTCTTGGAGAAACAGGAGTGTGGGTCCGGGCCCACACCCGAGCCATCCTTCCATCTGCCTGTCCTTGAATCTGCCTTTCCAAACAGATTTCTGGAACAACATTCAAACAAAACTATGATTATTTCCAGATGGTAGGGTTTAGGACATTTTTCTACTTTTTTCCTCTATTCTTTTTAGTATTGCTTCAATTTTTTTTTTGTTTTGTTACAAGACTGTACCAATTTTACAAAAGCAGTGTAATTACTCTTTTAAAAACTGAAATGTGCCCTGGCTGGGGTGCTCAGTGGGTTGGAGAGTTGTCCCACACCTAAACAGTTTGCAGGATTGATTCCCAGTCAAGGCACATACCTAGGTTTTGGGTTTCACCCCCAGCTGGGGTGAGGCAATGAGAGGCAACCGATGAATGTTTCTCTTTCACCTCGATGTTTCTCTGTCTCTCTCTCATCAATAAACACATCCTTGGGTGAGGATTTAAAAAACCTGAAACACATTTTTTAACGTACAATTTCACAAAGGATATAAAGTGGAAGGCCTCCGTGTCAGGAACACTTTGAGAAATGGGTCTCTCTTACTCTGCTGGGGTAGTGTGTTAGGGATCTTCTCTTGGCTTAAAAACCGTAAGAACACAAAGCCTATTTGACTTAAGCATTGCACCCATAGAAAAGTTATCCTAAAGACTGGTTAAAAAGATGTGCCAAGATTTATAAACAAAGATTTGCATGAAGTTGTTGTTTTTAATAACATTTGTCAACAACCTAAATGTCCAACACCAAGAGATGGCTTAAAAGTTTGGTTCTAGTGATTTTCAAAAGTTTCTTCTCATGCTCCTTTGTAACCAGAATGCAGTACTTTTATAATCATCATAAAGTTATTTTTACTTTGTAAAAAAGTCTGATTCTGAAGTTACAGAACCATTTCTCCCATTCTCTCTTCCTCTCTCTCTCTCTCTCTCTCTCTCTCTCTCTCTCTCGATTCTAGAGAGAGGGGAAGAGAAAAGGAGAGAGAAGGAGAGGAATATCAATGTGAGAGAGAAACATCAATCAGTTGCTTCTTGCACATGCCCTGACTGGGGACCAAACCGGCAACCTTGGCATGTGCCCTGACTGGGAATCGGACCTGTGACCTTTTGGTTTTTAGAACAGCGCCCAACCGAGCCACAACAGCCAGGGCTCTCCCATTATCTCAAACAGTTGTCCAGGGCAGCTGCATGTTCAGCCTGAGAAAGACAGGGCGTGTGCAAATTCTTCAACTCACAATCCACTTCTCACATTAAAAGGAAAACAAGCCTCCTTTGCAGATAGACAATCTGGGTATGTGGCTTTGGACCTAGTCATAGACTCGGAAAGAGAAAGACCTCCTGGAGGTGGGGAAAAAGGGAGACACTAGTGAAGAAGGCCTCTGCAGAGCAAGGCTGCTCAGCCTGGAGGCTGAGAACGGGAGTGATGGGAACAGGGAGGCAGGGGGCCAGGGTCATCACGACATAGACTGGAAATAAGCATTGCTTCAGTCACCTTAAGTTACCTGCATTTTTACATACCTGCTTTATTTAGTAAACATCCAACGAGGACCCACAACTCTGTTCCATTTCCTAACATAGTGATGAGCACCTGGACCTGCGGCAGGGCGGTCTCGGCTCACTAGCGCCGCCTCCTGTTAAATGGGGCACATTGCAGGGACAGATGCTGAAAGGAATGCGATTTTTACCGTAGAAGACTCCACCGGAGAAGATGGAGATGTCTAATCCAGCATTCTACAAGAAAGAAGGACCAAGGAAGTCGCCAAGATCCAGCCTGGCCCTAGAGACCATGGAGCAGCATCTCACAAGTTCCTTATGAACTTCCTTCAAAATCAGGGTTCCTTGGTGAAGTAAGTTTGCAGAATATTTCCTCTTACAGACTTTAGTGTATCAGGGTCATCAAAAAGTTCCGCAACAAATAAACCAATTTAACTTTTTCAAAAGTCTGTGATCATAGAATTCCTTTACAAATAAAGTCCACTAATATACCTTGGAAATAATGTTCCATGAACCATATTTATTTCCATTGAAACCACTGCTGAAGAGGATCCACGGATGAGGAGGAGAGCTGGGCTGTCCTAGGATCAGTCCGGAGAAGGGGGAAGGAGATGGTCCATCATCTTGGCCCTGTTTTCATGCTGGGGCTTCAAGAGTTGGGAGCTCGGTTCCTCTCAAAGTCCTGCTAGTTGGGCTCAGATAATAATGATGGTAGCAGCTAGCATACGCATAGTGCTTACTCTATGCTAGGTATACATCTAAGTATGTACTTGATGTATTAACTCATTTCTTTCTCACAGCAGTCTATGGGGCGGGCACACATTTTTGGATATGAAAAACTGAGTTGAACTCTCATTCATTGCTGGTGGAAATACAAAATTGGTACAGTCACTTTGGAAGAGCTATGTGTCTCCCAGGCTGCTATACAGTTTGGGACATGCCTAAATCCAAGTAATGCCCACAGAGCCATGCACTGGGTCTTCTGAGAGCCTGAGGGAGCTGTTTCTTCACATAAGAGAGGGTCTCCATAGAGAAAAAAGGGGTGGACTCACTTGTCTCTTACGTTCTCCAGCGGCAGATGCTGAGAGGGATCAGGTGTAAGGGAGGGAGGGCCATGGTAGGGCGGGGATGGCAGGACAGCTGGCTGCAGCCTGCTCCTCCTTTGGGGGCAGGGGTGGAAGAGGGCAATAGAAGGGTCCAGGGAATTCCACCTGGAGCAGGAAGCAGCCAGGCCAAGGGTAGCACCATCCTCATTCCCTTTGCACAAGGTGGTGTCCCCTCTTCTGACCATGTGCCCAGGAGCTCATCAGTGTCGCCTTGGAAACTTCCTCCCAGGGCTAGGAGGGGTTGCTGTCCAAAACCTCAGAGCAGCCTCAGAAGGGTCAAAATAGGAGCCCTGTGTTCTCAGGTGCATGGAAGCCACCCCTAACAGGAGGGCCAGGGGAGATGAGGCCTTCAGAGGCCACCCAGGACTTTGTCCAGGGGGCACCCCAGGAGTCCTCCCAGAGCCAGAATCAGCTGCCCATCCCCCACATTGCTCAGCAGAAGGGCCCAGAAAGCCCACCCACCCAGCTCATCTCCCCTTTCCCAGTCAGGACAGCCCTGCAGCAGCCAGCCTGCCCTAGGAACCTGGAGGAAAGGTAAGATATGAATATTTCTTGATTTGATTTATTTTTTTGTTGACTGGCTGGCTGTTGCCCCGGTGAGGAGGTGGTATTTCTGAGGGCAGGCCGGCAGGCCAGGGTCTGGCAGTCCTGGAGCTCATGACTCATAAGGTTCATGTGAGTCATGAGCGCCAGGAAAAGGGGATTGCCCTTCCCACCCCCACCTTCACAGCAAGGCTTGCATTGGGCCTGGGCCTCCTATTCTGGGTCCCATGTCCCATTGGGCCCTGGGTGGCCTGGCCAGCTGTCCTGCTCTCCTTCCACAGCCATGCCTTGGGTGCTCTCACGCAATGCTGCCTCTGGGCTGGGCCTATCTATCTTCCTCGTATTGACTCAGGTGCTCCTGGGCCCAGCCCCTACTGGCCGCACAGGCTTCCGGGCCAGGCCAGGGCCCAGGTTCCAGTGTCATTCCCTAGGAAGGGATCAGAGCAGGGCTCTCATTGCCTCCTGGACAGGCAGTGCGCCTGAGGGCTGGGCCTGGGCAAACAGGGCTGGTTACATGACTGGGTCCTGCTGCCCACCTCCCAGGACCTTCCTCCTCCCTCCTGCTCCCTAAGCCCAGGGGTTTATTCTGGCCCCATGGGGAGCTTCCCACTCTCCCCAGGACGTTGAGGATCTCTAACGTGAGGGCCCCCGCCCCCCCGCAGCCAGGTAGGGGAGTGTGGTCACCTGGGATATCTGAGCCAGTGAAGATTCCCGTTCTCAAGTGCCGGGGAGTTGTGTGTTGTCAGGTGGATGCCACTAGGGGGTTCGCTCTCTCCACCCTTCTCCTGTCCTCAAGTTCCCTCTGAATCCCAATCCCTCTCCCACTTCCACTTCATGTTAGGTCCCTGTTGCCTGACAGATCTGATGGGACCTTGGTTCTCCCAGACAGGCTGGTTCAGCCTGGCCATTTCATGGCTAGAAGATGGAGGACATACTGTTTCATTTTGGACCTTGAGTTTATTGCATAGTCCTGACTCCTTTATTCCGAGCATTTTTGATTGTCTTTTTTTTCTTGCAATTTAATGTTAACACTATTTCTCAGATCTATTCCATTTCACAGCCTGAAGCCTGATGACTTACAGTTCTAATTGCTTTCTGGTCTGATTGCACACTGTCACCTTTAATCTCTTTTTGGGTCCCTCTGGTTAGGTTTCACTGTTCTGTATTCTGAATCTTCAATTTTCTGAGTTTTCACACTGGATTTGCAGGAATGCAGGCTTACGTAATGTATTTCTTTTCTATTGCTGCTGTAGCAAATTGCCACATACTTAGTGGCCTAAGACAAAACAAGGGTATTGCCTTACAGTTTGTAAGCTAGAATTCGGCCATGTATCTCACCGAGCTAAAATCAAGGTGCCAGCAGGGCTGCATTCCTTTCTGGAGGCTCTAGAGAGCCCATTACCTCACCTTTTTCAGCTTCTAGAGGCCGCCCTCAGTCTTTGACTTGTGGCCCTTCCTCTGTCTTCAAAGCCAGCAACGGTGAATTGTGTCCTTTTCATAACATCACTTGGACTTCCTCTTTTGACTCTTGCTTCTAGTTTTAAGGGCACTTGTGACTACACGGGGCTCACCTGAATAATCCAGGAATATCTCCCCCATCTTAAGTCCTTAATTTAATCACATTGGCAGAATCCCGTGGGGCTCAGGAGAGCAGAGCCCAGGCCCAATATCCTTGTCTTCCGGGGTCACAGCACGGGCACATTCCCCATGGTTTCGGAGCGGGTCCCAGTAAGACTGTGTCTCAGGTACCCACACAGTAACCTCCTCGTTCAGGCAAACGTCATTGGGTTCTTCTCTCTCTGCCTTGGTTTCCCCACTCCTGACTGGGGCTTCTTGGTATCACCTCCAAATAAACTACCTGCACCCCAGTCCTGCCCCCAGGTCAGCCTCTGGGGGCCTGCAGTAAGACCAGAAGCACCTGGCATCTGTGTGACGGGGCCACCAGCACGAGCACTTGGGTGTCAGGGGAACTTCCTCCACAGCACCCCGAGTCCAGTCTTCCTAGTCCCCGGGGATCCTGGTGCTACTAATATCCTTCATAAATTATCTTTCTGATTGAACTAACCTGAGAGGGTTCTGCTGTTTGCAACCCAAACCTGTAATAGTACAGATGGGTGGAGAGAGATCTAGGAGTTTAGGACTGGTCTTGGGGTAGTTGGGACACGGGTGACCATGAGGGTGTCCAGGAAGCCACCTGAGTCCACAGAATGTTCAACAAGGCATCTGCTGGAACATGCACACGTGTTTATTAGAAACAGGGCAGAAAGGGACTGGGCCTGCTGCAGCAGATGGCCCTGACTCTCACGAGCTGTCGGGCTCAGGACGGCTGCAGGAATGGGGGCGTCCAGAGAAGGGGGAGGCACAGGAGCAGCAGCCAGGGGTATGGCCTGTGAATGCTGCTGTGGGCAATCAGCATCCGGATCCAGCTGAAGTGCGTACTGACGTTCGTGTAGACTCCGGGCCGGTTGGGCCTTCCACAGCCCACTCCCCAGCTCACGATTCCAATCTGAATCCACAGCCCTTTCATTTCGCAGGCCAACGGTCCGCCTGAGTCACCCTGGGGAGCAGAATGGGTGAGCAGAGCTGGGGTGGAGCAGAGAGGCTAGGAGAGCAGGAAAGGCTTCGGAGCTGGGCAGACTGGGTGCAAATCCTACTCCTCCCCCAGGAAGTGACCAAGTTTCTGCATCTGCAAAGTGATGCAGAATGATACAGGTGGCTCTCAGGTCTGGGGCTGAGTTGGAGAGAGGCTAGGACCCAGGAGGCCCTGGTTGGGGTGGGGAGGGACACTCACGAAGCAGGAGTCCTTGCCACCTTGAATATCGCCAGCACAAACCATGTCTCCCCAGATGTTATAGCGGAAAGGAGACTGTGAGTAGAGGTAGTTACACATAGTGGTGTTTATGACACCGACCTGCACTTCCTGGAGGGTGTAGGGAGATGGCAGCTCTGCATAAGAGTTGAGGGAACAGAGAAAAATAGCATCTTGAGCCTCTCCTCTGCCATCTGGTTGGAAGGAATGGTGTAGGTAAGGGAGTGGAGGAGGGGTGTGGGGGAGCAGGGTCCCTGGGGCACTGAGAGTGCCTTGGTGAGTCCTCTGCTCTAGCCCAGCACCCAGCACCTCATGAGTGATAAGCAATATTACAGAAGGACCCAATGTCTGGACAGGCTGTTCCAGCTCCTCCCTGAGACTTGAGTTCCTTATATGCAGCATGCAGATGACAACCCCTGCCAGAGCCAGTAGAGACAGACCTTAGCATGTACAAGGGAGGGGGTTAATGCAGCTAAGATGGTTTAGGATTATTACATTTCAGAGCCTGAGCCAAGAGCTTTCCTATGCATTCTTGGTGCTCCCACAGCACCCCCAGGATGCAGCCCAATTGTGACCCACTTTCAAGTAAGGAAAGATGCACCCAGGAAATGCCAGAATGTGATGTGAACCCAGGTTTATCCAAGTCCTAAGTCCAGGCCAGGATCACCTCTTCATCCTGCACAGGATGGTGACCACAGTAACGCCAAAAACTGACATGTCGGCCGAGTCTCCTGTCTGCCAGGATCTCTGCTAAGCCCTACGTATGAAAGCTTTTAAAGCTCAGAACCACCCTCTGAGGTGGGAACTGTTATTGCTCCATTTGATAGGTGAGGAAGCTGAGATACAGTGACGTGAAGTGCTTGTGCAAGGTTCTCCTGCTGGCACAGGGCAGAGCTAAGGTTTACACTAGACAGGGGGCTCCAGAAATCATCTGCCACCTGTAAGAATGAGGGCAGAGCCTGGGGCTGAATGTGGCCGCCTGTCAGCCTTGGGCCAGGGAGGGAGGGGGCAGAGTCTGCCCGGCCAGGCCTCCTGGCTTACACCCATGCAGGCTCTTGTACCCAGGGAGGTAGGCGGCAGGGGCATTTTATTTAGCACCTTCCAGGGGAAAGGAAAGGACCCCAACTCTAGAGGAAGGCCTGTCTAGTGTTGGCTTCTCTACCCCCCTGCCAAGACCAGATGTGTGACCACCTTGGGAACACATTACCCTCTGGGCCAATGAGCCCTGGCTTCTCCACCGACTCCTTCTGGGGCTTTGGGCAATTTGCACATCCCTGTCAGCTTCCTAATCTGTAAAGTAGGTGTAAAAATGTTCCCAGCCTCATTTGCAGGTAAGCTCCTCAAGGGAGATAGGTGGTACCCTGCTAGCTCCTGAGTCCCTAGAACCTAGAACAGTGCCAGGCACAATGTGCAGACAGGAGCTTCCTCTGTTATTGTTACTATTAAAGGTGAGGCAGGAATGGGCCAGGCAAGGTAGCAGTGGAAGAGGCAGTCCAGATGGAAGGCCTGTGCCTCCCCCAAAACTGGGGCACCTCGGAGAAGGCTGTGTCCAGTGGTTTCAGGGGACTCATGGTGAGAGATCAGCAGGGAGCACCTCTTGCTGATTCAAGGACCTCCTGCAGAGCCACGGTTGAAGAATGGCTCTAGATTTTGAGGACAGAGAAATATGTTCATCACTCCAGGAGAGCAGGCCATTGGGGATAGATAAGAAGGTATGGAGGAGCCAGAGTGGGAGGTTGGATGGCTGGGGGAGGGGCGAGCACCAGGCTGAGGTCTTCCTGACAGGCTCCTCCCACACCGCCCACACCTCTGCAGTCTGGGAGCACAGCCTGGGCCAAGCTGGCCTCCCTCTCCCCACTGGTTTCTGGCTCACAGTCCCTGGGGTAGGGGGAACTGAGTATTAGTACAGAAAGTCCTGCCCTGCCCTGGCTGGTGTGGCTTAGTTGGTTGGAGCATCATCCCATCTGAAAGGTTTCAGGTTCAATTCTGGGTTAGGGCACATGCCTAGGTTGCGGGTTCGGTCTCTGATTGAGGCATGTATGAGAGGCAACCGATCAATGTTTGTCACATCGATGTTTCTCTCCCACTCTAGCATGTCCTCAGGTAAGGATTAGAAAAAGAAATCTCCAGAAAGTTCTGCCCTTTCAGGGAGAGCAGGAATGGGAAGAGAATACTAAGCGGGCCCTGGAGGTACCCAGCTGTGCACAGACTAGGGCTGGTCTGGTGCGGCTGATGCAGCTGGAACAGGGCGTGGAGGATCATGCTCGTGCCCCGCTGCCCCAGACCCATCGCCTGTCTCCAGCCTCACCTTCATCTTCTTGGACGTCCCCCCAGCCGGTCACCCAGCAATCAGTCCGGTTCTGGAAGTCGATGGAAGAGGCCAGGACACAGATGGGCTGGATGTACTTATTGTAGGTGACAGGGGAAGACAGCCTCAGCATGGCTATGTCATAGGCTGAAGCCCCCAGATACCTGGGGCTCAAAATGATCTCTTCCACCTGGTAACGGTTTTGGTAGGCCTGCAGGTTCCAGATAGATGGCACGGCAGACAGCTCACCAAACTGGACCGTCCACTCATAGGGGTTATTGTTGCTGGCAGAGAGGAGAGAGCAGTCAAGAGGCCTTATCGGAAGGTGAGGCACCTCAGAACATCTGGGGCCTGCTCCCAAGAGTGGTGAGAGCCCAGAGAGGCTGCAACCAAAGCCCCAGAACCTGGGCATTTGGGGGGTGTAGGTAGGGCAAAAGGGTACTTCCCTTTGTGGTCTGATCTGGTCAATCACTCAACAAGCCTGTCACCTCTCAGGGCCATCTTAAAAAAGAGAATAAACAGAGACACAGGTGCCAAAGTGGGCCACTCAGTAGGGTGGAGCCAAAACAGCTAGAGGGGCTACTGCTGCCACAGGCCAACACTCACCCACCTCAGCTCACCCACCTCACCTGTGGTACACCTCATTGGGAGGTGGGATGAGGAAGGTGAAGGCTAGTTGTACCATTTACTGAGAAGAGAACAGGAAAGAGAAAAGAACAAGACACAAATGTGCACAGAAGTGTTCTAGGAGACTTCTGGGAAAAAACTGAACAGGGTTCCTGCAGGGGAACATGGGGAACTCGTATGGCTGGTACCAGCTGCAGCGGGGCCTGGGACTCAGGAGGACACGAGGGCCACACTGGTGTACAAAATGCGCGGGGCAGACCCAAGGTCGCTGTTCAGAGAGCCGCCACCCCCAGACTCACTTTTCAAAGCAGTGCGCTGCAGAGAGCACCCAGCGCCGGTTGAGCAGGCTCGCTCCACAGGAGTGGGAACCCCATAGGCGCAGGCTGCCCTGCCACGGCCAACGCCCAAGCTCTGCGTCCTGTCCGCCTACCACACGCGTCCCAAGGGCTCGTTGGCCACATGGCCCTGGGGTGGACAGACCAACATGGGGTTGAGCTGTCCAACAGGAGACAGAACCATCTGCCCACCCCCGCCCACTTGAGAGAGTTAAGGAAAATGGATTCCCCAGGAAACTGCACGCATCTTGGGGTCAGGTAGCTGAGGAAGAAAGAACGCTGGGCACCCTCCCCACGTGGTCTACAGGCGTCAGCCCCCGCCACGCCCCCCACCCCCACCCCCCGGGGCCCAGCAGTTAGTTACATGTGAGCAATGACGAGTTTTCGAAACCTGGGGCAAGAGAAATGAAAATATGAGTTATCTTTTGCACGCTGTCCCAGGTGTACCGAGCAAAGAAGCTCGCGTCTTGGGCACCTTACCTGGAAACATCAGGTCCAGATCCTGCCATCCTGGGGGGAGACGAGAAGGTGAGCTCCGCACGGTCTCCCTGTGCCCCATCCTACCCCCATCATCCCTACGTCAGCCAGCAGCTCCGGCCTGAGCTCACCCTGCATCTCAAGTTCGACTGGCACCAACAGATGCACCAGCAGCAGCGCCGCGACCGCGACCGGAGCGCCCATGGCCTCCTCTCCCGCCGCTTGGCGCCCCCTCTGCTTCTGCCTGCCCCAGGGCCGGGCTGGGGCGCCCCCTGGGGAAGACGGGAACCCTGGCCGCCATCTTCTCCTGGCTTGACCTCTCTGGGTCCAAGGGCTTTTGGGAACATCAGACCTCACAGCAACTCCAGCTTTGAGTTTCTCCTGGGGCTGAGTCCTCAGCTACACCCTTTGCTATGACTCGCGAACCAGTGCACCCAATCTTTCTCTTTTTGCAACCCTGGGATCCTGACTGCCCCCTTTTCTACCCACTTCTTTTAGGAGGGATGAAGGACCTGGACCACAATCGGACTCTCGTGGAAGCACACTAACAAGTCCCCACTGAATGCCCATTGCAGGCTAGGACTATTAGGCTGATCCCGAAAGGGAAGATCCCTCACAAGACTTCCTTTAGGAAATGATGGCTTTGCACCTTGTTCCTTCCTGAGACGGCAGCCTAGGCTGCCCCCTGGTGGCAGACCTCAGCCCCTCTCATCATCATCCTCTGGATTAAACCTTGAAAGTTGAAACATCTTTCACTTTCTAGGGGTTCTGGGGTAGGGGGGAAGGAAATCACCAAAATGGGAGAGAGAGATACCACTAGGTTGCCCATCCTAGTGTCTCTGTGACCAGGGACTCTCTGAATGGAATCCCAGGAAAGCTGTGCTTGCTTGGTGGCTCTGTGTGTGTCCTGAACACCACCAGGGATGTTGTGGAATTCACAATGATGAGTTACCCAGCATTGGCTTCTGGGAGTCTCTCCAAGTAGGGACTCTCACCAATAGCTGCGTCAGCAGCTGTGCTCCAACCAGAGCACCCATGGACTCCAAGGTAGGGGCTGTAAAGGGTGGAGGGCCCTTGGCGTGCTGTCTGGAGGAAGAGGTGAGAGCTGTTGAAAGGTATGACCACTCCACTCAGTCGTGGATGGAAAAACTAGGCTTAGATTGAGGGGTTGGGGGTGTTCTGGGACAGAGGCTGAAGCTCCCACCCAGTGGGTCTCAACCTGCCCTTTCCTCCTCCTTTGTCTGCCCTGCGAAGTGGCTCACAGGGTCCCCCATTCACAAATCCAGCTTGCCTTTGCCCGGGCTCCCTCCTTCAACTGTCAACTGACATATCTCCAGCCAGTTCCCAGGTTTCCCTGGAGAGATGGGTTAGAGAAAGAGGGAGACAGATGGAGAGCAAGCTCAGTCTGATCTGAGCCTTTGTTGTTCATGACCAGTTTGATGTGGATTCACCCCCAGCCCTACCCATGAGTCCAGGACCCCAAGGTCTTCCCATGACACTGAGATTGAACCTCCCCTAGGCCTACTCATGACCCTGGGATTGACTCCTGGTTCTGAGCCCAGAACCTCCCCAGATGTGTTGCTCTGACACCCACTGAGTCTAGGGGCAGAGCTTCTGGGGAGAGTGCACTCAAGCAAGCCCTGCAGCTAGCAGCCCTCATTTTTCCTGTCTGAAAAATGGAGATAATAGCTTTGACCGATGTGCCTCAGTTGGTTGAGTGTCATCCCACAAAGCAAAAAGGCACTGGTTCAATTCCTGGTCAGGGCACGTGCCTGGGTTGTGGGTTTAGTCCCCAGTCCGGAAGTGTATGAGAGGCAACTGATTGATGTTTCTCACATCGATGTTTCTCTCTTTCTTTCTCCCTCCCCTCTCTCTAAAAATAAATAAATAAAATCTTTCTTTTTTAATTTTAAGTATATAGTACTGATTATGCTATTACAGTTGTCCCATTTTTTTCTCCCCTTTCTCCCCCTCTGCCCTCTATCCCCCTCCCACGAGCATTCCCATCCCCTTAGTTCACATCCATGGGTCATATATGTAAGTTCTTTTACTTCTCCATTTCCTATACTATTCTTAACTCCCCCTGCTTATTTTGTACCTACCATTTATGCTTCTTTTCCTTGTACCTTTTCCCCCATTCTCCCCCTCCCCCTCCCTGCTGATAACCCTCCATGTGATCTCCATTTCTGTGATTCTGTTCCTGTTCTAGTTGTTGGCTTAGTTTTTTTGTTTGTTTGTTTTTTAGGTTCAGTTGTTGGTAGTTGTGAGTTTGTTGTTATTTTACTGTTCATAGTTTTGGTCTTCTTCTTATTACAGTTTTCCTTAGAAAAGTCCCTTTAACATGTCATATAATAAGGGCTTGGTGATGATGAGCTACTTTAACTTGACCTTATCTGGGAAGCACTTTGTCTGCCCTTCCATTCTAAATGACCGCTTTGCTGGATAGAGTAATCTTGGATGTAGGTCCTTGCCTTTCATTAGTTTGAATACTTCTTTCCAGCCCCTTCTTGCCAGTAAGCTTTCTTTTGAGAAATCAGCTGATAGTCTTATGGGTACTCCTTTGTAGGTAACTGTCTCCTTTTTTTCTTGCTGCTTTTAAGGTTCTCTTCTTATCTTTAATCTTGGGTGATTTAATTATGATGTGTCTTGGTGTGTTTCTCCTTGGATCCAACTTCTTTGGGATTCTCTGAGCTTCCTGACCTTGCATGTCTATTTCCCTCACGAGAAGTTTTCCTTAATTATTTTCTCAAATAAGTGTTCAATTTCTTGCTCTTCCTCTTCTCCTTCTGGCACCCCTATGATTCAGATGTTGGAATGTCTAAAGTTGTCCCAGAAGTTCCTAAGCCTCTCCTCATTTTTTTTTTTTTTTTGAATTCTTGTTTCTTCATTCTGATCCAGTTGAATGTTTATTTCTTCCTTTTGTTCCAAATCGTTGATTTGAGTCCCGGTTTCCTTCCCTTCACTCTTGGTTCCCTGTATATTTCTCTTCATTTCCCTTTGCATAGCCTTCACTTCTTCCTCTATTTTTTGTACTCAGTCATTTCTGTGAGCATCCTGATTACCAGTGTTTTGAACTCTGCATGTGATAGGTTGGCTGTTTCCTCGTTGCTTATTTCTTTTTCTGGAGTTTTGATCTGTTCTTTCATTTGGGCCATATTTCTTTGTGTTGGCGCACCTGTTATGTTGGAAGGGAGCAGAGCCTTTGGTATTAGCCAGGCTGGGGCAATCCACTTGGCTGCGTTGTGGTGCTGTATGTAGAGGCCAGGTCAGAGAGGGAACAATGCCACTTGCTCAGTTCTCACCCAGCTTTCTGTCACTTCTCTTGCTACCCACAAGCAAATTGGGCCCTTCTGGTGCTGATTCCTGGGCGGGTGGGTTTGTATACATTCTAGGACCCTATGGATCTCTCCAGCAGACTCTCCTGTGAGTCTGGAAGTTTCCACCACTGCCATAATCCCCACAGGTTTTTACAGCCAGAGGTTTTGAGGCTTTTTTTTCCCCAGTGCGGGAAACCTGGGTTGTGTGCTATGTCTTGCTCCTCAGTTGTTCCTCCCAGTTCATCTGCATTTGAATGTGGGACTGACTGGTCCCTCAGCCTCCCCCTCTCCTGCCCAGTCCTTTGCTTTGCCATGCATCCTCTGTGCCCCAGCTGCCTGTCTCCGTCCTTCCTACCTGTCAGGATGAATGTTTCTTCTTTAACTCCTTGGTTGTCAGACTTCCATACAGTTTGATTTTCTTGCAGTTCTGGTTGTTTCATGTTTTTAAATTCATTTTTGTCCTTCTTTTGGTTGTGCAAGGAAGCAAAGCATATCTACCTATGCCTCCATCTTAGCCGTAAGTCCCAAATCTTTCGTTTTTAAATGGAGATAATAGTAATGTGCACCTCTCAGAGCTGCTGAGAGGTACTTCCACACACACATCCTTCCAGTCCCCAAGGCATGGGGAGGACACCTGCAGGAGGTATGGCCCTCTGCCAGATCATCTTTGTTGCCTTTCAGATAAACATGTCTGCAAAGGGACTAGCCAAGCACTGGGGGCTGGAAACCTCAATTCCAAGAGCCCCAGAAACCCACAAAGGGATCCCTGAGCCTGGGTACATACTGGAACTCAGCCTTGGATGGTGAGCTGGAAGCAGGGAAAAGTAGGCTCTGTCCCTGGGGGTGGGGTGTTCCACAGGCTGGCAAGGGGGTGAGAGGGTGGCTTAGTGCCTATGCAGGATACATGAGAGATCTGAAGTGGGAGAGATGTGGGGGCATTAGAGGGGGGCTTTTAAAGGGGAAGAGGCCAGATAAATTCCCTGGAGGACAAAGGATTCAGTGGATGGCAGAAGGTAGCTTTCTGGCAAGAGCTTAGGGAGGGGCCCCCATGAGAAGCTGCGTACTGCATTCCTGGCAGGGAATAGAGAGAGGGCATGGGTTTGAAATGTGGGGGTTGAGTTCTCAGGACTGAGCCGCATGGCTAGACAAGGGAGATGGGGCTGTCTCCATTGGCCCCAGAAACAATAGGCAGTGAAAAAGATCACAGCAAGGCTTGAAGAGAACCTTCTGCCATCTGGGGCTGAGCTTTGGATTGTGCTGGGAACCCATGTGGCGTACACACCAATATTGGTGTAAACACCCAGCAGCCTCTTTGGGAGGCCACAGTCAGACTCCCATCACACTACTCCTGCCTGGATCCAGATGCCATCAGTGTCACAGACCAGGGGGCCTCCAGAGTCACCCTGGAGAGAAAGAAGGAGTCTAGAAGTGTAGGTCTGGAGGGCAGGACTGCTCAGGGCCAGCTGCCCTCCTTACACAGGGGAATGCCGAGGTTCCCAGGACCCTCCCCAGTTCTACCAACCTCCTGTCAGAAGTGCTTACCAGGTCTAGTGGACAGAACATCAGTGGCTTGAATGTTTCTGGAAGGCAGCAAAAATGGCTGGTTTGGGAATTAGAGATGAAATCTCTGGCAGGTGGGACAAGCAATGTGATGGGAACACCCTATTTTCTGCATAGGGCTTAGGGGGAGTACTTCTGTGTTACTAACAGCACTGTTTGCTTCATTCTGATGAAAAAAAAAGTCTTGAGAGAAAGCAATACTAAAAGGCAATGGGAGATAAAGTATGTTTTGCTTATAAGAAAAGACAAGGAACGACAAGACCAACCCAGTTCAGAAGTGACAACTCCTTAGGAAAATTGTTTCAAAGCCTCCAGGTGTTATTTTTA